CTCGGAAGGCTGAGGTGGAAGGATCACTGGAGCCCAGCAGGCGAGGCTGCGGTGGCCGGGTCGGCCACTGCACTCCAGTCTGGTCAACCGAGTGAGACTCCAACTCAAAAAAAAAAAAAAGAAAGAAAGAAAGGAAGCTGGGCTCGGTGGTTCAGCCTGTAATCTCGCACCTTGGGAGGCTGAGGTGAGTAAATTGCCTGAGCCCGCGCGTTTGAGATCCGCCTGGGCAACTTGGTGAGACCTCATCTCTACAATAAATTTAAAAAAACTAGCTGGGTACGGTAGCACGTACCGGTAGTTCCAGCTACTTGGAAGGCTGAGGCGGAAGGATTGCTGGAGCCCAGCAGGTTGGGGCTGCGGTGGCCGGGAGCGGCCACTGCACTCCATCCGGTCTGGGTGACAGAGTGAGACTCCAATTCAAAAAAAATTTAAAAAATAAAAAAAAAGAAAGAAAGGAGTTTTTAGTACATACTGTTAAGAAAACTGAGACGTTCCAACAATGGAAGAAAAAAAATCAATGTGGTTTTTGAACCAAGGAGGCAGCCACTTTAACCATTCCTGGGTTGTGATATCTGCTGTCACACTAGAAAGAAGGAATCTGCATGCTTTTCATTTTTGTAAAATTTAGGAGTAAAAGTAACTTTAGAGGAGGATAGCCTAGGGGTGTGTGTGTGTGTATGTATGTGCACATGTGCACATGCGTGCGCATTTGCATGTTTATTTGTAAGGTTAGGTGTTTAACAGATGAGAAATTGTGGTCTGAAGAGGAAAAGTGACTTGCCTATCTAGTTTGTTTCAGAACTAGAGCTAGGAGATCAAGTCTGCCAACTTCTTTTTTTTTCCTATGGCCTCTGGTTTTCAGACATTTTGTGTAAGGATATGTATGAACCTCTTTTAGAGGAAGGTTTTTGTGGAAGCCCCAATAAATGAAGTAGATAAAAGCAGAGCTGCTCTGGTTATGGTGTGAATAGAAAGAGGAGGTAGTCAAAGAAGGCTTCTAGGGGGAGGTGATACTTGAGTTGAGTTTTTTTTGTTTGTTTGTTTTTGTTTTATTGCCCCTTCTCATAATCTGAAAATTGAGCTGAGTCTTAAACCATGAGTAGAGTTTAGCCAGAAAGACAAGAGAGAGGCTTGTGGCCAGGAGTATGAGGCCAGTCTGGGCAACATAGCAGCACTCTGTCTCTGCAACAAGTTTTCAAAAATCAGTTGGGCATAGTGGTGGGCTCTTGTAGTCCCAGCTATTTAGGAGGCTGAGGTAAGAGGATTGCTTGAGTGAAACAGTTTGAGGCTGTAGTAAACTGTGATCACACTACTGCACTCCAGTCTGGGTGACAGATTGAAACCGTATCTCTCTCTGTGTTCCTTTTTTTTGTTGGAGATAGAGATGAGGTCTCATTATATTTCCCACGCTAATCTTGAATTCCTGGGCTTAAGCAATCCTCCCATCTTGGCCTCCCAAAGTGCTGGAATTGCAGAAGTGAGCACCACACCCTGCGAGAGACTCTCTCTCTCTCTCACTTTTTTTTGAGTTGGAATCTTACTCCATCGCCCAGGCTGGAGTGCAGTGGCATGCTCACAGCCACCCCAGCATCAACCTCCTGGGCTCAGGTGATCCTTCTGCCACAACTTTCTAAGTAGCCAGAACTACAGGTGCATGCTACCATGCCTGGTTAATTTTTTGATTTATTGTAGAGATGAAGTCTCACCAAGTTGCCCAGGCTGTTCTCGAACCCGTGGGCTCAGGCAATCCCCTCAGCTCGGTCTCCCAAAGTACTGGGATTACAAGCTTGAGCCACCATGCCAGGCCTAGACTCCCTCTTTTTTAAAAAAGAAAAGAAAACAGGCACAATAGCTTACTGTGATGTAATCCCACCACTTTGGGAGGCTGAGGCAGATGAATTGTTTGAGCCCAGGAGTTCAAGACCAGCCTGGGCAACACAGTGAGACCTTATCTGTACAACAACAACAAAAAAACCCAAAAATATTTAGCCTGATGTGGTGGTGCTCACCAGGCAGTCACAGAAGCAGTGAACCAGGATCGTACCACTGTACTCTAGCCTGGGCGACAGATTGAGACCCTGATTCAAACAAAACAAAACAAAACAAAACGAGGGAGTGAGGGAACTTGGCCCAAGTTGAGGAAGCAAAATGTGGAAGACTGGTGGTTTGTGGGAAAGCATCCGGAGGTTTAGTTTATTGCTTGAGGGGGTGTGATAAGGGATACAGCTGGAAATGTAGGCTGAGGGTTTGGATTTTTCTTCCAGCGATGGTGAGGAGTTGTTGAAGTATTTTCAGCAGCAGGAGTAACCTGTCTGTGTTTGTATGAGAAAGGTCACCCTTAACAATATAGACAGTAGATTAGGGATTAGGGGATAGGACTGGAGACTGAAGGCTGTTGCACTGAAAATTGAGAGAGTCCGAACTATAGCACTGAGGAGACAAGAGATATTTAGAAAGTAAAATCTCGACTGGCCTTGGTGGCTCAGCCTGTAATCCCAGCACTTTGGGAGGCCGAGGCCAGTGGATTGCCTGAGCCTGCGGGTTTGAGACCCACCTGGGCAATTTGGCGAGACCTTGTCTCTACACTAAAATAAAAATTAGCCAGGCGTGGTAGCATGCACCTATTGTTCCGGCTACTTGGAAGCCTGAGGCAGAAGGATCGCCGGAGGCCAGCAGGTCGAGGCTGCGGTGCTACTGCACTCCAGTCTGGGCGACAGAGTGAGACTCCAAGTCGAAGAAGAAAA